TTTGGCATTTTCCATGACAGGCTTGGACATTGTTGCCGTCTTGTCTCTGCCTCCATGGTAGTGAGTCTTAAGACAAGGGCAGAGGGGAGCTGACTTAAACCATCCCATGGTAGCAGGCTCACTGACTCCATCGCAGAGGAAGAATTCAGGATGAGTCAGAAGGAGGCCCAAGGAGGGTCTATGAGGCGGAGACACAGAGTGCAGTGCGCACTCAGGAGAGGAGTGTGGCTGCTCAGAGAAGTGAGTCACAGTTACAGCCCGGGCTGAGGACATTCACACTTTCTTCCAGGGACTGAAACGCTAGGGGGAGATGGTAGAATGTTTGCAGTAACCTATACATACTCTCCCAAGGATGCCAGCTGGTTTGCAGGCATGTTTTGTGTCCTCTTCTTTTTTTAATGGGCGATTTAAACATTCTCTGGATCACTTAGCCTTTTGTTTACTCTCTTAATTAGGCCAATTAATGGACTACTAGTGGTCTGGAAAGGAAGGAGTATAAATCTGGCGCCAGGACTATTGAAACTGGGACAGTCCTTACATCGTGTCCTGGCTCCTATACCTTACTTTCTTTTCTTTTTTTTTTTTTTTTTTTTTTTTTTTTTTTGTCTTTTTTGTTTTTATCGGTACCGGGGATCGAACTCACAACTGCCTGCTTGCAAGGCAGGCGCTTATGCCGCTGAGCTAAATCCCCAGCCCCATACCTTACTTTCTTAATTGAGCCAGTGCATCTCCTTTAATGAGGAGTCTTGTAGAGTAGTGTAAATCTAGCCCAGGAATACTGGCATGGAGCTGTTGGCGTAACTTCTGCTAAGTCCTGTAAGTTGCAGTCTTTGCGTATTTGTGATTTCCTTGTCTCCTTTACACCTGTCTTTTCTGTCTTCTGTCCTACCTTAGGGTGAGTGGAGGGGAGTGCTCCAGCAGTACACAGGGGAGGCAGACCATGTGCCCTGCTGTGCTATCTATGTTAAAAGTATTTGTTCATTGCTAATGTTTGCATGACTAGAAGAGAATAGACTTGTGTGTCTGGTTGATGCAAAGTTAATAATCTCTTGTCTGTCAGAAGAATTATCAAAAAAGACCCCTCTCAAGTTATACCACACAGTCACAAAATCTTTAAACTAGTTGCTCATTAACTCAGATTTCTGTAGGACTTTAGCCTCTCTCTCTCTCTCTCTCTCTCTCTCTCTCTCTCTCCCCCCTCCTTCCTTCTGTAAAGTGACATATAGTTGTCCCTCTCTATCCATGAGGAATTAGTTCTAAAATCCAAAGATCTTCAAGTCTTATATGAAATGTAGAGTGTTTGTAGTAACCTGCACATATTCTTCCATATACTTTAAGTCATGTGTAGATGTACAGGTATCAGACTGTAAAAGCTAATTTACCTATTGCATGTAGGTTGTGAATCTAAACAAAACAAGATTAAGTAACTTGTTTAGTCTGAACTAACACTATGAGTTCACTTCACCTGCTGGCATCCACAAGGAAACTTGGCACACTAGCATTTGAAGTTTTTCTGATGTATGCAAAGAAAAAGAAAATTAAGCTTCTTCCCTAGCATTTCAGTTCAGGAGTGACAGTATACTACAGACAAGGGATCTTCCTTCCTTTGTCAACATTTGGTAACAAGGCTGTGAGATCAGCTGGCTTTTAATTTGTATCGACACTCAGATGCAAAATAGTCTCCAGAGTTAATGACCATAAGCCTTTAGAATTGACTGAAAAGCAAAATGGTCCTGCTTAGAGAACTAGAGCAGAATATCTAGCATAGTTATAAGAAGCGTTATGAAAATAGCAGTATGCCCCCTATAAATTATGCTTCCATACAAAAACAAAGTCAGCTCTAAAAATAAGCAGCAGCTCTTAAAAAAAAAAAACAAATAACTTAAAATATCTTAAAAATTGATGGGAATGTAGGTTGAAAGATAACTAAAACAAGATTCAATTTATAATGTATTCTAAGCCGGGCATGGTGGCACATGCCTGTAATCCTACACTCTATAGGCTAAAGCAAGAGGATCATTGCAAGTTTGAGATCAGCCTGGGCTACAAAGTGAGCTCAAGGGTAGTCTGAACAGCATAGTGAGACCCTGTCTCAAAAAGCCAAAAACAAAATTTATAATATATTCTAGTATTTTAAATTTATTGTTCATTATATAACATCAACTTAGAAATATGTTATAATTTTGTTCTTTTATTAAAAGGAAAATTCTAGATTGAATTCTATTGAATTATAGAAGACTTTATTAGAATGGTTATTAATATTTTCTAGGATTTTCTTAGAAAATAAAATCAAATAGCTCCTTCCAAATATCATATTTTTCAAATGGAAGAGCTCCCAATTGTACCAGAAGTTCTGGTTGTTAATTTACTTTTCATTGAAACAGTTTTTCTTTTTTTATTAGCTCATGTTTGCAGTACATAATATTTACATTCCTTGTGAGAAATTTGTGCATACACATAATCGTGTACATTTTTTCTTCCCCTTTCTCTTCCCTCCCCATTCATCTCTTGGTGCCCCCCTCCCCGCTTCCTTCCTTCCATTTTCCTTTGTTCATGTTTGTGGTACATATTCCCATCCTTGTGTGTAGTTATTCATGTACAGAACACATCTTATTCCTCTTTCATCCCCCTTTTCTCTCCCCTCTCCACTTCCCCCAACTCTTGATCCCTTTCCCCTTTGAAAACTTTACTTCCTCACTTCCTGTTGTCTTTTATTTTGCTCTTTATTTATCCTTTGGGTTTCTCACATAATAAAAATCATGTGCTATTTAAGCTTGTGTGTCTGATTTATTTTACTTAAAATATAGTCTCAATGTGCATCTATTTGCTATAAATGACTCAAATTTATCTTTCTCTACAGCAGGATAGTATTCTGTGGTGTATAAATACCACATTTTCTGCATCTGTTCATCTGTTGGTAGACAAATAGGCCATTTGCAAGATTTAGCCGTTATGAATTGTGCTGTTATAACATAGATGTGCATGTATCACTATAATACAATATATTTAACACTTTTGGGAAGATATTTATAAGGGAAATAGCTATCTAGTGGAATTTCTATTTTTGCTTTCTGAGGCATGTCCATACGGATTTGCCAGTACCATACTGGTTTTGTCATTGTAGCTTTGTAATAAAACTTCAAGCCCTGGATTGTGATGCATCTTGCTTTTCTTTTTTTGCCCAGGATTTCTTTTGCTATTATAAGTCTCTTCTGGTTCCGTATGAATTTGAAGATTGTTTTCTCCAGTTCTTTGAAGAAAGCTGCTGGAACTTTGATTAGGGTTGCATTAAATTTGTATGTCAATTTTGGATGTATAGCTACTTTGTGTTGTTTCTACCTATCCAGTATCAGGGTATCTTTCCATTTTCTGATATCCTCTTTGATTTCCTTTTTTAGAATGCTTCGTTGTTTGTTGTAGAGGTCTTTCACTTTGTTTGGTTAATTCCTAGGTATTTAATTTTTCTTGCTGCTATTGTGAATTTATTTTTCAGTGGGTTCATTTTTAGTATATAGGAATGCTGTTGATTTTTGTGTGATTTTTGTCTGTCTTCTACATTACTGAATTCTATTATTAATTCTAAGAGTCTTTTGATGTAATTTTGGGATCGTCAATGAAGAAGATCATGTCACTTGCAAGTAATCATTATTTGATTTCCTCCTTTAATATTATTCATTTTATTTCTTTGTTTTGTCTGTTTGTTCTGGTCATTGTTCAAAGACTGTATTGTTCCTGATTTTAGAGGAACAACTTTCAGTTTTCCCCCATTTAATATGATGTTGCAGTAGGTTTGTCATAATTAGCTTTTATCAGATTGAGATAAGGTCATTCTGTACCTATTTTTTTCAATGCTTTTAATCACAAAAGGATATTGGGTTTTGTCAAACACCTTTTGTTCATCTATTGAGATGATTATGTGTTTTTAGTCATCACATCTATCAGAAACTTGCTTGATTTCATGACAGAAGAATTAAAGAGCATTCTCTTATTGGTCCTAATGCAGGATTTGGGTACATTGTATCCTGGATCTCTGTGATTGACAGGTCATGCCCACTTGCCCAACCAGATGATCATGTTCTAATTGCCTGCTGCTATAACTTACTTTACTCTAGTAAACAAAACTCCTAACAATAAGGAAATCTGATGTAGAATTTTTAAATTCCTAAAAATTTTATTATCAGGGGCTAGAGGTTTAGCTCAGCGGCATAAGCGCGTGCCTCGCAAGCAGGCAGTCGTTAAGTTCGATCCCTGGTACTGATAAAAAGGAAAAAGACCAAAAAAAAAATTTTTATTATCAAACTCATTTTAATTTATAAATGTGTATGTCTTCTGCAGTTTTTATATAGTGCAGAGATACAAAGTAAGTGTAGTGAATTGTTTGTAAACTTTCTCTTATACTGTATCTGGTTTTGTCTTCACATTATTGCTAGAAGAAATAGACATGCAGGAGCAATTGAAAAATCAAAACTAACAGCAACACTCAGTTTCTAGCCTGCTGTACTTTTGTGTTATGGTACAATAAATATTTATTACTTTATATTATCTAATAACCTTTTTTTAAAATTAAAAATAAAGTATGAAACAAAGTATAGCTAAATATAAAAATGTCAGTTTTGATAATTTTCATTATATGAAAAGTAAACATTTATTGTTAGAAATTTGGACAGTACAGAAAAGAAAGACGAAAAAAATAATTACACATAACCCATAGCCCAGAGACCACCACTGAGATTCTTTCTGTTCTTTCATCTGCATGTACTTGTTTACGTTGCTGTGATTATACTGTATATGTACCTTATTCCAGTTAACATAAGAAATACATGATTTATTAGTCCATAATAGTTTTATATTGCTCTCAGTAATGCAATTCTCTAGCCTTGACATTCCCTCCAAATTCTTACATGTTGCTAGTCTTATCAGACAGCTTAAAACAATTCACATTTCACAATGTGGATAGAAATGTCACCTGTGACCTTTTAAATGTTCGGTTTGTGTTACAGTGTTGTCCATGCTTCCGACGCTGAGAGAGGCCTTAATGCAGCAACTGAATTCAGAGAGCCTTACAGCTCTGCTAAAAAACAGGTAAATGGACTTCACTTAAAATTTATAGAATGAATTAAAATACATTGCAGAACCTTTGTTTTGTTCTTTTTAATTAAAGTTTGTTAGATATAAGCTCAGTTAGCAAAATATAAGCAATTATCACTGAATTAATATTTCATTCTGTTCATTTGTTTATGCTGTGTCTCATTACACAGGTCATTTAGGGCAATGTGTGTGCGTTGCTTTTCATATAAATGATTTTATATCATTAATAATTGAGTACTTATGGAATATTTTTCTGAACCAGAAATTGTGAAACTAAAAAAATTTAGTTTCTTATAGAAGCTATAGTATTCTTACAGAATACTATGCTTCTCATAGTTTTTAAAGTATATTAAGTAAAGTATGTTAAGATTTTAAATAAGTATGGTGATGAATTTACATGATCAGTTACTAACGAAATGCAAGTATGACACAAACATATAATATTAATAATTTATATGACCACTGCGTTTTTTTATTTTTTTATTTTATTTTTTTGGTACTGGGGATCAAACTCACAACTGCACGCTTGCAAGGCAGGCGTTTATGCCACTGAGCTAAATCCCCAGCCCAATGACCACTGCGTTTTGTAAAACACTTTTATATATATGACCTCATATATCTCATCTAGCATGCCTCGAGATGTTGTAAGTTAATACATGCCATGTTAGTTTAAGAACGTTTCTAGAAGAAACTAGCTTCTTTTTTTAATGAACAAGATATGTAGGGGTAAGTGACTCCACTTAGTAAATTCTGTGTGCTGGATTAGGGGCACCAGGGCCGTATGGATGCTGACCATGTGCTCTACCACTGGACTACAGTTCCAACACTAAATTTTCATCATCGTAGCCATACTAAAATATCTACTTGCTTTGTAATCACCTGCCAATAGCCAGCAGAAATTACTTTCTGTACCTATATGCTGCCATTTGACTTTCATAACATTCCTGCAAGACAAATACAAACAACAGCAAAATTTCTTTGAAGTATTTCTTGTATATTCAAAGAATGCTTCATAAAATAACAATAGATTTGTGTACTTAGAAATGTTTTGTCTGATTAAACTATAATACTAGTGTCATGGGACTTCGCTTCCATAGTTTCACATTCTTAGGATAGATTCTTTAACCTGCCTTAAATATGTAAAGTTTAGCTTATAAATTAATTTCTGTAATTATATGAAGAAGATACGTGTAAGCAAATCACTCTCAGTCACATAAATACTTAGCACCTGTATGCACATAAATATAGGATAGAAAAGAAATAGATTCTTCTTAATTGCCTTCACTTTTTAATTTGTTGGGAAGGCAAGACAACTGAAGATTGTATACAACAATTCTATAAAAACATCATAGCAGACATAATGAACATGGTGGCACAGGACATGGTGGTGCACACTTGTCATCCCAGAGCCAGGAGGCTGAGGTAGGAGGGTCACTGCAAGTTGAAAGGCGACCTGGACTACATAGTAAATCCAAGACCAGCCAGAACTACAGAGTGAGACCCTGTCTCATAGAAAACAAACAATAACATCAAAGAATAAACATGGTGGCAGTCTTTATGCGTAGTGAATCTATTTGTTTGAAGGTGCTAGGTTCCATATGCTTTGAGAGGTTTGAAATGTTAAAGGGCTGGCAGCTTAGCTCAGTAGTAGAGCACATGTTGGTTTGCTTGAGGTTCCAGGTTCAATGCCCAGCACTCTTTATTATTAGGATAAAGTTCCTGTACCGTCTTAACAGCTAAAGAAGTAGATTAAATAACTAATTATAATTCAAGACAAGTTAGAGCCATGGTGAAATAAATAAATAAATAAACGTAATGAAGAGGCAAAAAACAAAAGCGAAAATGGGGGTGTGTGTAGGAAAATGGAGGTAAAAGCTTTAATTTTGATGTGTAATCCTGGATAACATTAGAGAAAAGATGTGATTGTCCTTTTGTTTTTAATGGAGAAAGATTTCTTAAATTCCAACATTTAAGAAGGGTCACAGTTTTGGGGGGGGCAGGGTTTGGTTTTTTCTCTTTCTTTTGACTTGAAACTATTACTTTACAATTTGGGGGGAAACATCTATTTGAAAAACACTTGCACAAATGTGGGCTTGAAGCCAGGCATGGTGGTTTGTGCATATAACCCCAGCACTCTGGGGCACTGAAACAGGAGGATCGCATGTTCAAATCCATCCTAGGCAACTTGGTAACTTAGGAAAACTCAAAATAAAAAATAAAGAAGGTTCAAGGATGTAACTCGCTGCAGAGGCTCTGGATTCAGAGCTGAAAAGAGAAAAAACAGAGAGAGAGGAGGAGGAATAGGAGAAGAGGAGAGACGAGAGAGAAAGAAGAAATAGGGGGCAGAGACAGGAGGGGCAGAGGAAGGAAAAGGAGAAAGAAAACAAGAAGGGATTGAACCATTAACAAGTGTAATTTAAAAAGCCTGCAGTCTTATTATTGTTTTTATATTAGTATTCAGTCAACTCTGATCTGATCTTAGTCACTTTCTAGTAGTAATACAGAATGCCCAATACCTACAGCTTGGGCTCACGGTGTGTAGAGGTTGCAGTCCGCTGTCAGCTGGCTCCAAGGAAGAAGTGGGATGGGGAAGGAAGGGCCCAGGTGTAGGAAACTGCTCCTCAAGGTAGCCAGGAAGCAGGGAGAGAAAAGGGAGGAGGCAGAGAAGGAGAAATGCCCTTCTGGCCACAGCAGCAAAGACCACCTCTACCCAGACCCCAACTCCTGCCTGAAGGTCAGCTAGGAATTCATCAGCAGAGTAATCTGTGAATACAGCACCCTGTGATTCAATCACCTTCCAAGCACGAGGGGCTCTTGGAGAATACTTCAAATCTACACCATAACAGATATCATATAAACCTATCAAACTAATTTTTCTGTTAAACTAGTTTAATAATTAATTATCTGAGAGCCATATTTATCTGTTTCATAGTAGCAAGTAAACCACACTGTTTTCAACATTTGGGTAGGTGGGGTGTACCTAGAATTGAACTCGGGACCTTGCACTTGCCAGGCTGTCACTGTGCCACTGAGCTATATCCCTGGCCCTACTTTGTATTCTTATTGAAGATTGACAATGGCAAGAAAGTTTCAATGGCAGAGAATCTTAAAACACCCCTCATCACAAGAGAGGATACATTTTAAGGATTCATTTAGGTCTTAATATTTTACTGACACTAAAAACTCTGATTGTATTTAACTTACAGTACATTTCCATCAGACAAATCATTTGAAAGGAATCTTTGTATAGAAAATACTTTTCCCTGTCCTATTTGATTTAAAATCAGAATTTCTCAAAAAGAAAGCTGTCAGGGTGGCACGTTCCTGTAATCCCAGCTCTCAGAAGGTTGAGGCAGGAGGATCACCGCAAGTTCACAGCTAGTCTGGGCTACATAGTGAGTTCAAGGCCAGGCTGAACTACAAAGTGACATCCTGTCTCGAAAAATGAAACAAAATGAAAATTCTCAAGATAATGAGGGCTAGATCTGGATCGAGGCCTGGAGTGTGTGGGTATGTGTGTGTGTGTGTGTGTGTGTGTGTGTGTGTGTGTGTGTGAGAGAGAGAGATGTTAGGGATCAAACCTAGACAAACACACTACCACTAAATTCCATCCCCAGCCCAAAGGTCAGTATTTTAAATCTATTTTCAAAGTCCAGTTTTAGTGACTGTCAACACAAAGGAATGTCCTGGGTGGTATTACTCTGCCTTTTCCCACCAAAATCATGCGAAATACAATACAGTTTTAGCAAATACAATCCCAATTCAAACACCCTAATTTTCCCTGTCATACAATGCTGCAACTAACCTTTTCCTATTCTTTTATCTTAATCATACTTTGAAATTTTTTCTGAAAAAAGATGTGATTTACTTGCACTAAATACCTTGAATTGCAGTAAATTCTCAGTTTAATCACAATAACTGTGATGCTCAGTGGTAGAGTGTCGATGTCGCTCCCGGCCGGCAGGAAGGACACACGACAAAGTCTGGCAGTGGACAACCTTTTCTTTTATTTTCCTTCTCCGTACAGCCTGCCCTGGGATCGCTCCCAGCCGAAGCCTCCTTTGGTCCGCTCCCCGCGGCTCCTTCTAGGCTTCTACTTCCGGGCTTCTTCTTCCCCCCCAGGGGTGGCACCAGTATATATACGGATACAGTGTCCAATCATGTTAAAGTAAGCAAGGCAAGCTGATTGGCTAACATCATCAGTTGCCAGGCAGACTATATTGTTGAGCGGGTTGCTTACACGGTAAGCAGGAAACTAACGTGCTCGATGGGAGGGGTAATCTACCTCAGGCTTTACTCTTTACTACAGGCCTCACGTCCGCCAAGTGAGGCGACCGGGCTCGGGGCTGCGGCTCCCAACATCTCCCCCTTTTTTATTTATTTATTTATTTTTTATTTTTTTTTTTATAAATGTGCGCATCGTAGCCCTTCCTGGACTGGGTGCAGAGGCTTATGCCCTATGCGTAGGCCCACCGTAGGTCCTTGGCTTAGACCCTGGTCGGCCGTCCCATGGTCTGCCAAGGCCCTGAGGCCCTCGTCCTTTTTCTAGGGCCAGGCACAAACTGGACGGAACCTGGATGCACACAAGCTTGCACTCATTTCCTCTCCGTAAAGAAATCCCCTCGGAGAGAAATTTAGACCTGGGCAGCATCTAACAGTCCAGCGGCTTACGTGCAGGATGGGGTAGGGCCTGGCTTAGGTTGAGTCGCACCGGGGGAGTACGCTCTTACCTGTCATTGACTCTCCTACCCAGCTATGTCATAATTTTTTAGAGGAGGAGTGTGGGAAGCTCACCACCTCTAGACTCGGTCGTAGGCTAGGCGAGCGAGCCATGCATATGCCTGAGGATCTTCTTGTCCATTTCGGGCTATCGCTATTTCTATTCATCTTGTTGGTTGGTCTGTGATGGATCTCCGGTAGGGCAGGTCTGATCTTCAGTCGAGGGCTTTATCGCCCGTGTCAGTCTCTCCGGTACCCACAGTGGTTCTCGTCCC